TGAACATTTTAAGTACAAGAGAATAATTCATACAATATAAAAGAAATTAGACTAGTTTCATACAATTCTAAGATTCTTACAAGAATTAAATTCACATCTTAAGAAATAAAAACAAGAAAAAGAAGACTAATTACAAAATTAAAAAGAAAAGAAAAATCTAAACTATGAACAAGAAATAAATCTAATTACAAAGAAAATAAAAATCTAAACTATAAAATAAATTGCAGAAATTAAATGCAAGAAAAATAAATCTACTCTACAAATTAAAGTGCAAAAAGAAATAAAAAGACAAGAAAATAAATCTACACTACAAGCATGAATTTAAATCTAACTAATAAGCAATAATAAAGAAATTACTAAAAAGAAATAAAAGAGAAAAGAAATGCAAACCTTCAATTTGCTCTTCATTTCCATCTTCATCATTCAACAAAGAGGAGAAAGAACAAATTTAAAGAGGAGAAAAATTATTATTATTAATTGCAACTAAAGTTACAATTTTTGAAAGGCATTCTCAATTAAGAGTAGCCCTCCTCTTCAAAAGGAGTTACAAAATTTTTCACACCCTTAACCCCTCACTCTCTCCCCCTATTTATAGTAATCATCAATGAATATGAGCTATTGGATTTGTCTTGAGCCCCAAGCAAAGCAATCTCCACCTTTGAATTTGTTAGTGAAGAAATGGGTTGGAATTTGTTTTTTTTTTCTCTAGCCCAACATAGGAGGCCCATATGATTTTTAAAAATAAATGAAAATCCAAGTCTTCGGTCCATTCATGATTCATTTGATTTTCAAAAGAAAATGAAAATCCTAGTAGCAAGTCCAGCCCAATTCATTTCATTTGATTTTGAAAATCTGCAACACAGTCCGGTCATTGGAGCTTCCCTTGGTGTAATCTTCTTGATGGGCTTTGGGCCTTCGAAAATTCACTTGAAAAAAAATGAAAATCCCACTCTTGGTGCAGGTCCGGTCCACTTGGCCTTGGCTTCATGAAGCCTTGATTTTGTGGCTTCTTGCTTCAATATAATGTATTATATGTTCTTTGTTTCTTTTCTTTTTTTTCTTTGGGCCATCATTTGCTTGATGCTCTTTAGGCTTCAATCATTTTAAGCTTTTGCTTCATGGGCTTCTAAAATGCTACAAAATAGAGAAGAGAGATTTTGAGGGGTTTTTACATTTAATAATATTTATTTATATTTTCATTCAATTATGTGTAAACTAATCTAACAACAATTATTAATGGTATATTTATTCATGTAAAATAGATAATGAGGGTATAAAATTGTAATAAAATATGATTATCAAATACCCCCACATCTAAACTTTTTCTAGTCCTCTAGCAAAGAAAAATAAAAAGAAAATCCTAACTCACTTTCGCAGGAATCACGGTTGTATTTAGCGCATACAACAAGCCTTTAAACCCCTAGGTTACCCTAGTGGACGAGTTATAGTCTCGTGAGGCTTTGCAGTGAATATACCCATAAAATTTGGTCAACTTGCCAAGTTAAAATAAGTCAGTAAATAACAAATTTTTCTTGATATATTTATTAAACATTCTAATTGAAGCTAGTTAATAATCAAGAAAACGTTTTTATATATAACTCCAATGTAAATCCCTCATAAAGATCTTTTTGGCATTATGGCATATACAGAAACCAAGCAATCTATAGAAATTTCAGTAAAACCACAGATTTGGGAAAAGACATGCCAACACATCTTGTGTTAATTAATAACTTTCAGTCTATATGGATCAAAAATTGTTTAAAATAAATAAAATAAAAAATAAAAATAAATAAGATAAAATTATAATATAAAATAATATTATAGGTCCAAAACAAACAGACAGAGCCAACGACGGCGAAAATCGCAAAAAATGAAAACACAAAAAAGTAAAGCAGAAAAACATAAACAACGATAAAACAACCGAGACGAACTTCAAAAACCCCAAAATCAAGGAATCAATTTCGGGACTCGGAAGTAAAAATAAAAAACAACTAAGAAACACAAAAAAACAGACCAATTAACACAATCAGAGTCTATCAAAAAAAAAAAAGCACAAGCAGACAAAAAAACGACGTTGAAAAGTCGAAAACACGACGCCCGCGGGGCTCGGCCAAAGCCGAGGTCCACGCCCCAAGTGGCTCGCCTTAGCGGAGCCGACCTTGAGGTGCTCGGGTGCCGAGCACCTCAAAGGTGGCTCGGCAAGCGAGCCACGCCTGAGGTGATCGTGGCGAGAGCACCCCAAGGTGCCGGCGCAATGCCGAATCCTTGGTGGCTCGAGGGCCAGAGCGCAGCTCGGGGTGCTCGCATGGAGCCGAGCCACCCCAAGGTGGTAGGGGACAGCAGTGTCAGCCACGTGCGGAGGTGGCCGACATGCCCGAGGTGGGCCGACAGTGCCAGGAGGTGGCCGACAAATTCTCATTTGTTGGCGTGAGCCACTCGCAGGTTCACTGAGCTATTAATGAGGGCCAGAGATGTTCATAAAATTCAGAGGTCAAAGCAAAAAGCTGAAAAGAAGAGTGATCCTCGGAGCTTTGAAGACCAGAACTTGCAGCATTCAAATCTGATCGCTCGGCGACCATAAAAAAACCACGTCAGAAAAGGCAGGACTCGACGCAGAAGAAAGAACAGATCTGAGATTACAAAACGAGACTCAAAAAATAGCTGAGAATTAATCCGAGATCTGAGAAGGAATAAATACAAATGAGTGAATAACAATCCCTCCGCTAGTATTAAAGATACTCGTGTAGATCCGCGGATCCTAGATTTATGCGCCCAAACACCCAACAAGGTGGTCCACGATTAATATAACGCCGACGCGAGCACGCAAAACAGGCTCGTGAAAAAATTTTCTTTATTTTCTTCTTTGATTAGTGTTAACGCGGATCTATAAAAACCGGATCTTTTGTAAATATCAAAAGTTGTCCACTCAAATGACAATCTATCTCATAATGAAGAAGCTACGGTTTACAACACGCGAACAATCTGGCACCACAGTGGACGGCCGACGCGATACTCGCCACGAGATCGATCGCACTGCAAAAAAAACTCATAAGGAAGAGGTCGAGTACCGAGTTCCGACGAGCAATATGAGGAGTAGTGTCCAGTCGCCGGAAAATCTATCCCCCGAAAAAACAAGTCCAAGAAGAAAAAGTTTGAAAAGGCGGCTCGGAAGGCCCACGAAGCTCTCACCCAACTGACCGCGAAGTGCGTCAAATGAAGTTCCAGGCCGACCTCCAATACAGGTCAACCCAACCGCCAGCCAGCGAAGCTCTCCACTGGTGTGACTCTCGCAAAGAGCCCGCCAGAGGCGTCGGACAACGGCCGTCGCCGGCAATAGTCGCTAACGCGATGGGAGTCTACGGACGTATTCGCGCTACCCCACCGGGAGTTGAAGGAACAGAAGAGGTGCAAACATGGCCTCAATACCGAAGTGAATGGCGACTCTTGCAAGCCGCCAAAGAAAGAATGGTCCGCGTCAAACGAACGGTCGTTCGAACGACTCCGATGGAACGTAATATCCAGCGCG